AGCTTTCAAGCGGGAAGTTCTTGCTACACGTTCTTCCCTTCCGTCATACGGTTTAATTTTCCTCGGCCGCCAGAAGCCTCCACCGTTACGAATTGATTTCGCGCTCGTGACAAATTGTAATTGCTCTGACCACATCACACCGAATATTAGTGGTTATAAGTTTCAAACTATGCTATCCACTGATCTACGAGACTGCAAATCTTTGTCAGTATGTGAATTTTAATTTGGGACTTCCACATTAGGTTTGCGCATAGTTAAATTTAAGTTTTAGTTATGTATTTGAAAAAAACTTTATTAACGTTTATATAGCAATAAATTACAGACATTAAAACTTTGTATAAATACGTGAAAACATAAGTTTGAAATATTATATCAAAGACTACACTTTAATTAATATCAAGATTCATACTGCTATCTAGTACTTTGAAACGTATCGCAATGTTTTTCTGAAATTATAATAATATAATCGTATTTTCCGGAAGTATTGCAATTATTTAAAATGTTTCATTCGCACCGAAAAACGTAATCCAGCAATTTCTACTGCCTGAAGTTAATTGAGGATCCTTGAAAAAGTTAAAAGCTCTGCGCACAGACTATAAAACGGCCAAAGTTCTTCATTGCACTACCGCGCGTGCATCGTGCAACTTTTCCTCCTGATGTAGCCGTGCGAAACAGAATCCGAAAATCACTCGGAGAGAGCTTTCTCTCTGGAGATGTAGCGGGCAAAGTCGAGCCTAGAGTAAAGGCACCCGATATATCTGTGTATGCTTATTAAGCTGGAAAAACTTGGAGCCCGAGCTGCAACTTGTATAGAATTCTTTTTTTGTAACTCACTAAGCTACAAAACTTGGAATATAAGCTCATAACTATCCAATATAATTAGTCGCGAACCTTGTTTTCATGTTTGTGTTTGTGAAAAATTTTCTTTTTCAAGTTTAGGCAGCGTTTATTTGTAAGAGCCTCGTTATTAAAATATAGTTCATAATTAGGAATGTTGAAAGCCCTTAGTACAACTCAAATAGCCATGACGGAGAGTAAGAGAGCTTAATCTCTTCGGAAGAAGTCTAAAAGCAGCAGTTAAACTTAAAAAAAAGTTGAGCCGCGCTTGAGCATCTGGACACTTGGTTCTTGCGTGCGCTGACTCGTGAATCACAATGCAGAACTCGAATCTATTCGCCGCGCTTCATTGGCGATCTGCAGGATGATTTAAGGAGTCGACAGACGAATTCGGAGAATCTGCTTCGATTTCCGATGGCGATGGCCGGCGACCATTGCGAGCGTTTGTCAAAGTTTCACTGACTTTCGCATGTGGAAACAGGAATACTAGATGAAAAGGCCAGCGAACTGCTCGCCAGCTGGCCAACCAAATGCACAGTTTACGTGTACTTCGTCCAGGGCTCGCCTTTCCGCATCCCGTAACGATCGATTAAAATTGCATAGAAGTGACTGATACAACTTTCCAGTATTTTCTATACGATTGAAATTGTTTACTTAACAAATTATAAGGGAGCCCATCGTAACGGTTTTCTTGCTTGGATAAAAACGTATTATAAATTATAACCGAATATTGCAATCTTACACATAAATCGAAATGATGCTTGGAAAATTCACGAGTCGATCAAGGTAAAAGGATGGAAAATGATCTGTGTGATCGACGACTAAAAGTATCAAGGATGAAAAGCAAACAAAATAGATCGATGAAAAATAAAGCGAAGAGAAAGCAGAGCCGAATTGTGGGTAGAGAATCGACTTGCTTTCAGCTTGTTTGCGGCTCGACAAAAACGTGCCGAGGAGTCGGAAAAGAGGCTCGGAGGAGGTCAAGCTTCCTCTCGTTTTCAGAATATAATAACGGGAGTCAAGCGGACTCGTCATCCGATCCCCAAGCTGCTTAACTGCGCGAAATGATAAAGGCTCCATTTTCTCACATACGCAGTGTGTATTTCACCTACTCATAAAGCCGATCAGTACGGCCTATATTGTTACGCTTATTCTATGAGTACTGAGGATAAGTTCGCTTCATTATACGTAAACGACTGTTGACCAACGTACTTTACTATATAGGACATGCCAACTGTAATTTTGAACTGCACACTCTCAACGCTTCTATTATTTCTCTTATGTTCTAGTCGATAAACTCGCACGTAGTTTATACTTTAAGTATCTATAAAGCGTCAACCATCATGAGAACGACAACAGTTATTTCAAAAATTTGACTAGGCTCTCCGTTATATGTTTGAAAACCTTTTGAGATGATGCTTATTACTTTGTTGGAGATCAGTGAAATGAAACGATGTAATTAATAGTAAATGGGGACGCGCGAATGGAAAATACATAACTGAACCGTGAAGAATTTCTTTCGTTGGCCACACTACTATCCCGACAAAGCCGAGTCTTCCACATGATTTTTTGTTCAGTAAGAGGAGTAAAAAGGCAAGTAGCAGCTGCTCGAATTTTCACCGAGTTCGCAGGTAATAACTCAGCGCCGAAAGTCGAATGTACGTATATGGGACCTCGAGAAAAAGAGGCTAGGAAAACGGCTCAGATCGAGCCCGATAAAAATCGCTGTCTCCTCTTTTTCCTTCTTTTTTTCTTATTCCCTTTACCCTTTCTACTTCTCTAGTTCAACCTGACTTGTCTTTTCGTTCCTTTTTCTTGGATTTAGGAGTAGTCGCGCAACAGGAAAACGCACGAGCCAAGGGATTTGTAAAAGGATGAAAATGCATCCCAATAAAGAACATTTTTACTCTGCGATATTATTCTCTGTACCAAATAATTCCATTTGATTGAGTGGATAAGATTAATGAGTTGAATAATTATATCTTGAAATATCGCCCATTTTCCACATGAAATACGACGATTTTACGCATCGATAATGAGAACTGATCAAACAGACATAACTTTCGAAAGAAAAGCTTCCGAGAATCCGCACACCTGTACGTCGGAACCTTACGAGCGATCGGAATTATTGTATACTAATAATTGTTACCTCCTCTCGCTTGAACAGCTGTATAAGAATATATTGCGCATCACTAAGAAGAAATGAGCGACATGAAAATAAAAATACTTAAAACTTATTGTCACTGTATTTTTGGTATTCTTCCGGAGGCATTTCTATGAGGAAATGGGGTACTTTTCAGTGCTCATATTTTATGACGCTTTATTTCTCATGAAAGTTTATCTCCGGCATGCACAACTTTGAGGAGAGTTTGACGATTCAACAAGTACATGCATACGAAGAAGAGAATTCTCGAGCGTAGACCCGGTAAATCGTAAACTTTATATCTAGTGCATTTTTCTCGGTTTACTCCGAGAAAATTATGTATGTACATCCTTGATTATAATAACATTTCTGTGCATAAGAATATACGTGTAATCTCAATGCGGCAAAGCTATCGGTCAATACAAAAAACATTTTTTTAAAGGAAAAAACTTTTGACGTTCAATACATTTTCCAGCAAAACAAGTCAGAGAGTGCACCCTTTATCAGTGGCGCTCGAACTAAAACTAGCCGAGGCACCTAACGAGAGAGAGAAAGAAAGAGAGAGAGAGAGAGAGCAGAGTTTATCGGCTAGGACGCCATTAAGATTAGAGCACTTTTTAACCTTTTGCGGAGAGCGGAAAGTAAAGGAGAAGGAACGACGTTTTTTTATCGATGACGATAAACATTTTTATAGGCCCTATGCGAATTACTAGTTTTTTATAGCTACTCTATACCCTGTTGGTTTACCGGCGCTACTTGTTCTTAACTTTTCTTACCGAAAAACTTTTTTGGAGAGTAGCTTGCAAAAGCTCATATCTCGCGTGGATTGAATATGTAACATGTATTCTGTGATTGTGGTATTTTTTACTGCATAATTATATGCGAACTCTATTGTGCTATTTTAGCATTTACTTCATCCAAATCATGTCAGTGTTTAACATATGATCTATCTATTGTTCACTAATATTTATATTACTTTTGTTGCTTAGCCGCTAAATTTCTTTGAAATATGATATTTCAAGATAAAATTAGGCGTTGGATCATGCGCCTATATGCAGCTTTCAAAATCATGCCGGTGGTTATCGCTAATTACGCCAAGCGGGCCTAGCGATAACGTGCGATTCGCTTCATCTGGTAGGCCTGCGTAAGCATGCATCCAGCGGATGATCTGGGTGGAATGTATCATCTCGAGTAGCATAATTGATCCGCCTTTTTGCCCGATGGAAAGCAATTTAACGATCGCGTAAATGTTTCGATATATCGATATATTCTTAAAAAGTATTCATGGGGTTATTTGCAAGATTAGATTTTACGAACCAATCGACTCTTTAAGTTTACAATCCTTCTAAATAAGTAAGTCGATTTTGAGTAGTAGAATTTTGGACCCTACACCATTATCGTATAAACTTTGTGTACTATAGTTGGCACATAAAGTTTACGCGAGCAAAGTCACTTGCTTACTCTATGCATAGTGGATTTATTAATGTGCTCTCGTTCTACATCTGCTGAAGTCACTTCTCTATCGCATCTAAGCAACGCGTTCGTATTCTCGCACAAAAGCTTTTGCATGGTACAAGTTTGATCAATCTATTATTACCATAAGTAATTGATGGAAATAGCAGTTTCTATGTGAACAGCATTATCAACGGTATCAAAATTTTAAGGAGGTACTGCTTTTGAAAAATACTTGATCTCGTTAATTGTATTCTCATTTTCATAGTAAATATACAAGATGACTTCAGAATAGAAGACTTCCGCATTATAAAAATATAAAATTGTCACGAAAGTTTTTGACATTTGTAAATTTTGCTTCTCGTACTTGACACGAGTTCGGTGGCGGAAGTGTCGGGATGCGATTGCAGCACAAGCGAAGCAATGGGAGTAGGGCGAGATGACTTGGGGATCTCGGGCGGCGGCGCGGCGCGCAACCAGAGCGGAGGGGGATAAACGACCGCGAGAGACAGAAAGAGAGAGGGTCAAAGCACTGCGCAGGGTTCAGTAAGCCTCCGGCTCTCAGGCGTTCCACTTCCTCACGCTTTGCTTACTCGTCGGGTTGTCTAAGCACGTGCGCGTTGTATTTTTAACCGGCCGCATCAAGCAAGTGCTACAAATTTAATTGTAGGTGTGCCTGTTTGTGAAAGGAGTGTGGATTTTTGTTAAAAACAAAAGTGTTTGTCGAAGGAAATTCTTTTATAAAACTTCTCGTTGCATATTTGTAATTTGAGAGTTTGGTAAGATGTTTTTTCTTTAGCAGATTTTCAAAACTCGCTTATCGAACGCTACTTATTTTTAAATACTTGAAACCGTATCTTTCAAACATAGCGATAGAAAATTCATATTAGTAATAAACAAATGTAATTTTCATATTAATACATCATATTTGGCATATTTCGTTTATAAAAAATAAATCAAACGTCCGATAGATAAGTATTTCGATATTAACTTAGCTTTCAAAAAAAAATTAATCGATAAATATTTTCTGCAAGAATATTTATTTTGAAAATGTGCAGCGCTACAAAATTTATTAATAAATATTGAGATACCATTAACCTGATTGACGGGTTAGATATTGGACTTTCATGTTTATTTTCGATATCCATGCACTTCAATTTTACGTTGATGTGTGATTTGAAACTCATCCAATATCACGCTGTCTATATACTAAATAATCTTGGCACATATCTTTAAATTAAATATTTTTTGTTTATTTAACAACAGTAATGTAACACGTTTATCACTCATCAGAATTTTATTGTCAAAAAAAAAAATTTTTTTTTACTAAATAAAAATAAAATAAATAATTACGAAACGAAATTAAACAATTAAACAATGACACGATTTAAAAAAAAACTTGTTTTTAAACCGTCTGACTGAATGAAGTGTTAATCATTCATTCCAAAGATACTATGTTTCAAAGATGAAATGTTTGGACGATCAATAAAATATGAAATATGTTATATATTATATATTCTAGATAAGAAACTACAAGTTTACTACTTACTTGACAGTTCGGAAAGAATTTAAGATCGTTACCATACTATCATTTTATTTAAAAATTACCTATTCAATTTTTTATTCGTTTCTAAGTAACTCCAATTGTTATTGTTGAACATTAAAGCCAAAATTTATTTTAACCTTAAATTTATGATATTTTATGTACAATATACTTATTCAAAAGTTCGTTACGTGATATTTTTTTGAAAATAATATTTCAGCAATACCGACATCGTGATTTCATTCTAATATACTAATTGACCTTAAAATCTTGACATGGTCTATAAGTAGCAAAAAAGAATTAATCTACGTCTACACTGAACAAAGTAAAGACTATGATGACGATGTGCAGGAGAGATAAATAATAGCAACCCGGACACCAGAAGATATGTGTAAAAAAACGCCGACGAATGGGCATCTGTACTCTAGCAACGAAGCACGTTTCAGGTTGTAAGGCAGAGGACGGGTGTCGGGTCAAGGATCAAGGTAGCAAACGCGCTTGGGAAACTGCCGTAAAGTGAGGCCCTCGCCACATATGCGCATACGCGCGCGTACGAGGGCGTACAAACGCGTACAAATCGCTAAAAATTTTGATAGTGCCAACAACAGAAATTTACTACTATTCCTCGCATGCCCCAAACGAACACACTTACTCCCGGAACAAACGTATCATAACGCTATATTATTGAAGGTTATGATACGTTTGTTCCGGGAGTAAGTGTGTTCGTTTGGGGCATGCGAGGAATAGTAGTAAATTTCTGTTGTTGGCACTATCAAAATTTTTAGCGATTTGTACGCGTTGGTACGCCCTCGTACGCGCGCATATGCGCATATGTGGCGAGGGCCTAATAAAAAGAAAAAAATATATTTCGCTTGGGTAAGGTTATTTGGACTCATGTGCGATGCGCATGTCCGCAAAACCAGCGCCGGTCTGAAGACGGTTTACGGCTTGGCGATTTAGGGGAGCAGTCTGGACTGTATCTACACATGTGAGAGCAATCGGGAAAATATACGTTAGGGACAAAAGAAAACAGTGTTGTCTGTTCGTCCCGCAGACAGCGCACTAGCACTCAACAGAGGAGTAACGCGCGGTCTAGACATTGTGAAAACGCATAAAAATAATATACCATTATATTGTACGACCTTGTTAGCTACGCGATTGAACCGGTCAAGTGCAGAAGCGAAATGCCCGTCGCCATGAGTCGTATCTGCCTCGGCTCCGGTCTCGCCTGTAACTCGAACTCCACCTATTAACGTAAATGTGCGTGTACCCAGCGCATACCGTCGCCGTGAAGCCGCAACTCGGTTCTGAGAAATTCGATTCCTGGAGGTTAACAGCCCCACGTGAAGCACATGGTTTCCGGGTCTTGTGGGCGCCAAAAACGGAAAGAGAAGGCATACGCCGACCTTTGGGCCAAAGGCTGGCGGAAGAGAATGCAAGCGAGAAGGAGGAGAGAAAGATCTAGCGTAGGCGTGGCCAAGTGGTTTGTAAACCGCAAAGGCCCAAGGAGGAGGATAAATGAGAACATGGACCCCGGAAAATAAGTAGTGACGAGGGGGGACGGACGAGCTTTCGAGGCTCGGTGTTACGCATAGCGAAGGCAGTTCGAGTTTTCCCCTACAACCGGCAAGTCACCGCACCATTTGACTATTCACGCGCTCTATAAAAATTCAGCTTTTCTTTCCAGTAGAGATTATGCTCTTGTTCTTTTGCGCATACTTATAAAATTATGCTTGTTTCTTCTTGTTCTCAATCTTAATTTAATTTGTCATCGTACTATCATTATTGCAAATAAAGTCATTTAGTTCATTAAAAATAAACCATTGGCTACCACTTAATGTTCCCGCTCAACCTCACCCCTGTAGCTTTACATATTGTAAAGCTACAGGAAGCACGTAAGAATACAAAGAGAGAAATATATTTTTAAAAGGGTTGAAGAAAAGCATAGAGAAAGTTGTGCGCGTTACGCGGATGCGCTCGCCGAAAAGAACGGCTAGCATACATTTATGCATGCGCCGGGATATTCGTGTGTGGGAGGGGAGGGGGGAAAAGAAGGAAGAGAAAGAGAGATGAAAAAAGTGATGCCTAGGGGAGCAGGAAAGCAAAAAGGACATAACTCTTCGGAAGAGCCCACGCGCGAAAGTCAGACACGAGCGCTTAATGGATTTTTAGTTATGTGCAGAAAAACCATTAAAAACCGTCGCTAGCCCCGCTCGAAGAAATTAATTCCGATTGCCCTCTATCGTCGCGAATCACGAGTAGGATTTACAGAGGAAATTGCGCTGAGAGTGCTGCTGCTTTAGCCTTTTTGTCTTTGAGCTACTTTTTCGTTTGACTGTTTACCAGGCGTGAGAGCGCGAAACTCTCCTGGGTCTCGAGACCTTGATTCTATTCTGCTTTCTAATTAGCACCGTGAAGCGTTTGTGCAAATTAATTGTTCTACTTTTGAAAGTACGCGAATTTTTCATGCTCAAAAGAATTTTTAATTTACTGTTTTTAATTTTCCGAAGAAATGTAGCACTCGTCACGAGACCGAGCAAAAAGAACGTTTTCCAGTCTGAATAAGGATTTTTTCAAAATCTACTCTCGAATCGTAATATTTTAAGGGTACTTTTTTCAATCGATAAAATAAATGATGTAGACAGCTCGAGTTGAAATGTTCTTCTATGCCGTCGATAAGACCAACTTTAAAGCAAACCTGCGGAGCGAAAAACTCTCAGCCGAAAAAAGTGCATTCACCCACCGACTCTGTGGTCAGTCGAGAGACAAAAGACGGAACATTCAAAGCAAAACTTTTCTCGATCGTACGTGCGGCTTTAACTCACCGAACAGTTCTTTTTTTCGAATGGAGTATGGCAAAGCGGGAGCTCGCCTCGTTCGTGGTTTTCGGCACTATTTTAATTTCCGAAAATTACGCTAAAAGAAAGTTTGCGACAAGCGACAGGGAGCTTAGTTTTTGTTCTGCGCTCTTTGTTTTTCTGTCACTGGGAGTTTCCGTTGTTCCGCTGGACTTTATTTCTATCAGTTGTTCCACTTCCAGGTCCTGTTGAAATTAGTTGAATTTTTATCTGCGCTATTTGTATTGTTAACGTTTAAATGATTTCCCTTTTAATGTTATTACTACTCAAACGATAAGATTAAAAAGAAACTTGAAGTATGGATAGAAAATAAATTATTAGATATACGAGACTAATTAAATTTTTTTATTAATATTTATAGTCTTAAGTTTAGATTTAAAATGTCTTCAATGCTGTGAACAGTAGTCTGCGTACGATTCTACAGGTTTATAATAGTATGATGCTCTTAATTGAGTGGATCTACTACCGTAAATTTTTATTAGAGAAAATAAATACATAACTAAAAAGAAAATAAGAAAATAAGAAAATATCGACAAGAGTGATAGCTGTCAATAATTTTTATTGAAAGCTGAATGTGAAGAGGTATATAGATTATGGACATCTGTATATAGACAACCTCACAGAATTGTATATTCTCCATAATTATTAACATTGTTGGATACGATTACTTTTTTTATTTTCATCAGATCGGAGGGTAACCAAAAAATGTAAATCCTAATTTTTCATCAACTTGATAAAAAAATCTATAAATAAAAGAGAAAAAAACAGCAATGGCTGCACACCGAGTTAGGCAAGCGCGTCGCTCGTAAATGCGCATTTTTACGAGGCCTTTGCCTGCTACTTTTATTTTCTCCAGCGTTACACTCAAAAGATTTCGAGCAAGCGCGTGGGCGACGATCACTCGCAACATTTACTCCTCCATCTCTCTCTCTCTCTCTCTCTCTCTTTCTCTCTCTCTCTGTATTTCTCTCTTTTGCTGTGCTTGCGTAGATATATGGGTAATGAAAAGAGAGCTGCATCGGAAATGGTTTTTCGAAACGATAAACAAGCTGCAACAGCGGCAGCGGAAGGGCGCAACGTGCGCAAAACGGTGCATTTTGTTTAGCTGTATGCCCAGAGCAAATACGATGCCGCGTGATAGCGTAAAAGAGACGTTGCCTTCTATATGCTTGTGTCAACTCTTTCAAATAAAAGAGATCCGCATTTATCTAAGGAAACTCTGTATATACGCAACATTACGATCTGACTGTAAGTGAAAAAGGTTACGGTTATATGAAATTCGGATGTGTTTTCATAGAGAATAAAATCTTTTTCATTCTGTACCATTTGGTTTTAATTGATTTCATCAGATATGAATTATGAGTAATGCATACAAATTATTGACGGGAGATCGAGTCGATCCACCCTGAAAGATTTTGAGTGAGGGAAGCGTCCGATAAGCGAGTTAGGTGGTTCGAATTATCGAGTGGCGTGTGTCATCGTCCCGGGGGAGAATAGCCAGAGGAATTACGAAGGTTTGCAGGCAGACCAACAGTGCTGCAAGCGCCGACGCCGATGGGCACGTGACGGGATTTGGCCGCAGCATACTAACAGCAATCTGAGAGATGTGCTGCTCAGGAAGCGAGGGCGGCACGCGAATGACGAGGTGCGGCTTGCTTTGCGGTATGGCCGCTCTGGCCGCTCTCACCGCTGCTCTCCTCGGACCAGCTTGGCTGCATACCGAGGAAAGGCTGCCACACTTGCCACGTCACTTGGCTGGCCTTGTCAGCGTTAAGTTCAAACTCGGCCTATTTCGCGCTTGTCCCAAGATCATCAAACCGGCTAACCTGTCAACGTGTAAGTTAACGTTTTTTTCCTCTAATGACGTTTGATTTTCCATTGTATTTTTTTTTTTATTAAATTGCAATGAAAAAATCTAACGAAGTTCATTACAATTTTCTTAAATTTATTAAGAATTGATTATCAAAATATCTTAAAAAATTGTAAGTAGTAATGTTCAAATATTGTCAGACAATGTGACTAATTTTGAAATTTCGGTACTTTTGTTAAGAATAGTAACTAAACTACGCCCATAAAATAATTACTGTTGGATTTGAATATCAATCATGGAAGTACACTTGAGTAGAACAATGAAACATGATAACCTTTTAAACCTAATGGAATGTGGCAGACCGTTCTATCAGTAGCTAAAGATACACATAAAAAGCGTCCTGACTTGTAGAGACTTAACATCCGAGTAATTAGCCCACTAGACTCGTAGAAAAATCTTATAACTGGGAGTAGAGGAAAAAGGGAAGAGTATACAAGCAGTTGATGCATCGGTAGTGTCTAGAGAGGACCGAGACGAAGTGACGTAAAAACCCGAGTACAAGCGTAAAAACAAAAGGAGACATGCGGAAAGCCGCTATCGTCGTCGCGCAGCATCCATCCGTGCGATGACAACTTCTTTTTATTTTTGTCGACGGCAGCGTGCACGCCCGCGCGCTCGCTTTTTCTTTAAAAAGACGGGAGGAGAGACCTTTTCTTCCTTTGCAGCTTTCAGCCTTTCTCCTCCATTTCTTGTTTTCTCTGCTGTCATTATGCTGCGCGAGCCTCTATATCTCTGCAATACGATTTTCTTCCGTCCCTTCCCTTGCTTGCCCTTCGTAGCTTTGTCGCTTGCTGGCCTCGGTAAGCAAATTTCTGCTTCGATGAGGTGAAACAAGATCCCCACGTTTTTATCTCACCGCTTTCGCCAATGCTTTAGTTTTTCCTCTTCTCATTGTCTCCTCGTCGAGTAAGCTCGCTGACCTCTTTACATCGACCTCGTTAAGAATGACGAGGAAAGTGAGAGAGACGAGATTCTTTAAAAACTCTTGAACATTTTCACGCAAGCAGTCGTCGTGTCAATTGTCATTATTTCTATGCAGATGAAATCTAGGAAAGTAATAGTACTATTTAAATTAGAATAAGTGCTTTCCTCGTTCAGATTTCTTAAAGGCTAATGTTTCACGCGTCATCTCAACCTTTCTGAAATTCTCGTACGTTCATGCACGCATTTATAACTACTCATCTGGAAACAATAAATCTTTGACGGTTTCATTTTACCGTTGGATAATATAGCTTACTTCGATAAATTATTTAGTTGGACCGCTATCTAGTTCTCCGTACGTAAAACAAATACCAGTAATATTTGCTCGAACTGTTAAATGGAGCGTACGCCAGTCGAGTAAGCTATCTTTTGGGTATCTAATTCGAATTTTGCCTCTCCGTTATGAAAAAGAATAGAGGAAATTAAAGTTACATTTTGTCCTCGAGAAAGGATCTCCAGATCAACGCATAGGAAACAATGGATTCCACGACCTTCTTATTATAATTTTTTTTTGTTTTTTTTACCAGTCAAGACCAGAACAATTTGCGATGAGCTAAAGCGAGGAGAAAAATACTTGGGCAAAAGTCGTTGCTGTCAGGCAGATATCCGGATGCACGGAATTCAATGAATGTGAGCCCCATGAAATTTAGTTGAGAAACACGGCATGCGTACGCTATTTGTAATTCTTATTGCAAGCGATTTAATTTACAGCAGCATTTTAATTATTATGAGAGTTAACTTAATTAATTTTTCTTTGAAATTTCATTTATAAACTTTTCCATAACGTTTTTTGATAAATTAAAATTAAAAGTCATTTCGCAATGAATAACACTCGACAAAAAATATCTGTTCTTCAATAAAATTTTTCTTTTGAATTCGTGACGGAGCAGTCAAAGCATTTCAACGTCGCAAAAAAGTAACCATGCAAGCTATAGTCGATGCACGGAGGTTGAGCCAGTTAACGAGTCTCTTATTATCGCTGCCATTAGCAGCGAAGAAAAGAGAGGGGGAGAGTGGCGCGTCCTGGAGTTCAGTTGAGAAATTCACAAGGTAGTTGAGAAAATCGATGAAGCCGGTGCCGCAGCCGATGCGGCGACGTAGATGCCGCCGAGAAGAAGAAAACGAAATTCTCGGCGTCGCCGTAAGGGTTGATGGTGACTAATGACTGTAGCATTAAAAAACTGAGCTGTAGTGGTAGCCGATCGCCTCTGTATTGATGTGCTATCGAGAGTTCGTGGTTGTGCTTCAGCAGAGACTTTCACGCTTAAGATTGAAAGGTATCGATTGAAATGTGTGAAGCAGGCTCATCGTTTTTGTTGACACACGAGCAACGTGATTGCAAAATCGACGATCGGAAGATAATCACGTAAAAATGTTATATTGTGATTTCTAAATAATCATCGGATTTTTCCATTTGATAGTTATCAGTTTGTTTATCCGATTAATGCTCCTTTTGTAGAAAAATAATTTGTTGGCTAAGACATTCGCTAAAATTAAAACACATCGCTCAAGCTCGACGGCATGACTCGCCACCAGCATCCGAGTCATTCATCTCTTTTTTCTTTTTCTCCAATCCGTCTCACCCTCGAATCCTCGTTCCCGCTTTATCACTGCTTCGAGCCAAACTCCGAATTTACGCTACCCACTTGCCCCTGCGCGATAAGTCGCGTCGCCAATGAAGACAAATCGTCGGTGCCGCAGCTAGCGGTTTTGTCAAGGCCATAATTAATTTTAGGCTTTTTTTATATAACGCATATTTTCACACTCGCGATATATTTTACAGCGCGACATTAGCAGTCTCGAGATGATCTCAGATAATCTCGAGGTACCGCTAGATTGGTAGCACTATCGATGAAAATGTTATAGTCCTGGAATAAAAACTATGTTCACATTTTATTTTGCTTGATTACGCTGTGTCAGATGATTAATAACAACGTTGTTCCTCAATATATTGGTGTTTCTTACTGTGATAATAAGATTTTGGAATTCTACTTCATAAATAATTTAGCTCTAGCTATTAATTTAACTGTACCACAGATTATATCTCATTCCGATAGATTTTTCTTCTGAAACTGACCGTTCATAATTTCCCATTATTACGACGAATGGATTTTCCTTTGTATCAGTAGCCATTAAATATTTGATACATGCGAATTGGAATAAGCACTAATTGTAAGATTAAGTGAACAATAATAGCATAAATTCGAGATTATGTCTGACATTTTAGTTGAAACTTATGTACTACCGCAATCGCTAGATTTTCATGTCTTTCTCATTCTGACGCATCGCAACGGCGATTACTCCGAAAGCATCCTCATGCCTTTTCACCGCTGCAAAACAAGGAACTGTCTTCATCTCGCTGATCCCTCTAAGTCGTCTGGAGGATTTGCAATTTAAGCTTTGGCCTGCAGGATTCCCAACTCGACGATAAAGTCAAGAGATGTGCCAGTGGATCGACAGTGAACTCCATGTACTTCGTTACACATGACTTTGAATAGTTCAACCTTGGTTGATCTTTAAACTGTCTTTAAAAGTTTTTACCTTCAACTGAAATAATGGTATTGCCAGTTATTTATGAATCGTACCATTTTGAAATCGGCATAATAATCTTGACCAGCTCACTTTTTATATGTGATTTTTTTAGCACCCCAATAAACAAATAGCAATGGTTTTAAATATTCACATTGCACTAAGAAAGGGTACGGCGTCAATCTTGTTAGACAAGATACTCGAAGCTTCCGCCGCTTAACGACCACGGGATTATTCCAACTGGTGTATTTACGACGGCTCATCGCGCTAATACCTCAGTAGGCTTTAGCTCGAGCAGGCCTTATCATAAAATTAGCTATTTGCGTTAATCCAAGATAGATCAAGCACTAGTCCCGCGAGCCTCGAATCCACGGGAACGCGGAGTAGTCAAATAGAAATATGATCGGAAAAATTCGACACCAAAGGACAAATCGTAAAAATTGTTGACGAATTGCTTGTTTTTTTTTTTTTTTTTTTTTGACGGCTAGACGTCGAGTGCGAATAGACGGAGAAAGCGCGAGATGGAAAAACGTGCAAATCAATTTCTCTTTTCTCCAATATGGAATGCATTTTCTGATGCAATTTTTTTACACGTTACAATACTTATAACTAATTAATATCTTTAAAAAAGGCGAACGACCATACAAAACGTTTATCTTTTCCATTCATACGCAAATTCACGAATCCATGAGCTACACAATTAATCCCCTCGGCAAACTCAAATATCCACTCAGCATTAGCATAACGGACACTCGATTCCCGTCTATTATCCCGAGCGCCTCGGTGAAGAAAACACGTAGCCTTGCCTGGCAATTTTTCTCCCGGTGCTAGGCCGTGCTCGCCCAGTAATGAGGTTACTCGTAATTCCAGCGAGACGATATCGGATCTTCCTAATTTCCGGCGGGAGAATTACGCGCGCCTGTACCTGCCTCTGGAATCCCAATCGTGAAAACGCTGCAGCCACCTACCTATATATTCTCTTTTTCACTAACACTGGCTGTCGCTCAGTTCGAGTACAAAGTAGGGAAAAGCTATGTGAAATTCGCTGAGGACATTTAACGTTCGGTACGTATTAATTTCGAATGAATTCTCAGGAATCGTGGCGAGAATTTTCAAGAAGATATTTTATGTCACCCTGATCGAGAAGCAAGGCAGGTTCTTGTTAATGGCGATTATAGAGAGCGCAACTAGTCGAAACTCTTTACGGTTCGCGGAGCATCCTTCGCCGCGATGAGTTTCGCGTGGATCTGTGCTTCTTAATTAGAAGACGCGCTCTACGAGAATTCAACCTTCATTGCCGTAAACTCATTCTGTCACTCTTTATTGCACGAATCATTAACCAGTTTCATGAGGCATTTCACTCGGTAATCTCTCGAATATTTGGTTTATTTAAAAATGGCGCAGTGATCTCAAATTTAAACAATTATCTTTCGTAGAACATCAAAGAACAGTCCTT